GTTCTCCCAGATTAGAATCCGCGCACTTAGCCACTACACCAAACTGGCTCTTGTAATTGCAAGTAGCTTCGGTGGGAAGGGAACAGCGTTCCGTGCGCCTTGGTGTTTAGTCATGCCGGCCACATGACCACGGAAGCATCTTCGGACAGCGCTGGCTCTTCAGCTTGAAAACAGAGATGAGCACCGCACCCCTAGAGTCGGATTCGACTGGCTTTCGAGCAAGGGAAGCCTTTACCTTTACCTTTTTAGTGGTTAAAAAGGTCAGTCTAGACCCAGGCTTGAATCCCCATTTGTATCATGGAAGCCGGGTGGATGACCTTGGGCCAGTCACGCTCTCCCAGCCTCGCCTACCTCACGGGGTTGTTGTGAGGAAAAACAGAGGAGAGGGGAAACATGTAAGCTACTTTGGGTTCCCATTGAATAATCATAGCATAATAGACATGGTAGAGGGTGCAAATGCAATGCAGAGGAATAGTTTTACATCGGTAGAAAACGAGGGAGTGCCGAGAGGGGAAAAGAGGCAGGAAACAGGTAACACATCCTAAAACTCCACGATTGTGGTCCAGAGTCCCTTTACTTTGATAAAGCGCTTTCCTCAGTGGGCTTACGGAGGAATGGAATGTTCTTCGGCCTGGTGGTGGAGGCAGGAAGAAGACAAGAAGGACATGGCAGAGCTGGGAAGAGTGCCAAGGAGGGGATCCGAGCACCTTCCCTAGGAGGAGAGGATGGAGAGTCTCTGGGACTTCTCAGTTTTGGAAGGAGATGACTAAGGGGGGGGGGGACATGCTAGAGGTTTATAAAAGAATGCATGAAGGGGAGAGAGCTGACCAAGAGAAATTTTTCCTCCCTCTCCCAAAAGACTAGAACTTGAGGACATCCAGGGACGCTGATGGGCCGTAGGTTCACGACAGACGAAAGGAAATACTACTTTACGCAGAGAGTGATTAAAATGTAGAATCTGCTGCCAGAGGCTGTAGTGAATACACAGCTTTAAAAGTGGATTAGGTAGATTCATACCCATCATACCCATGGTGATGACTGAGGGGAACCTCCACCTTTAGAGACGCTAAACCTCTGAATCCCAGAGTCAGGAGGCAACATCAGGGGAAGGCCTCGGCCTCCCTGCCCTGTTGCTGGCCCTCCAGAGGAACTGGCTGGCCACAGTGTGGGACGGGAGGCTGGACTGGAGGGACCCTCCCTGGTCTGACCCAGCAGGGCTCTTCTGATGTCCTTCTCAAGGGAAGGCCTTGGCCTCTATGCCCTGTTGTTGGCCCTCCAGAGGAACTGGCTGGCCACAGTGTGGGACGGGAGGCTGGACTAGATGGACCCTCCCTGGTCTGACCCAGCAGGGCTCTTCTGATGTCCTTCTCAGGGGAAGGCCTCGGCCTCCCTGCCCTGTTGCTGGCCCTCCAGAGGAACTGGCTGGCCACAGTGTGGGACGGGAGGCTGGACTGGAGGGACCCTCCCTGGTCTGACCCAGCAGGGCTCTTCTGATGTCCTTCTCAAGGGAAGGCCTTGGCCTCTATGCCCTGTTGTTGGCCCTCCAGAGGAACTGGCTGGCCACAGTGTGGGACGGGAGGCTGGACTGGAGGGACCCTCCCTGGTCTGACCCAGCAGGGCTCTTCTGATGTCCTTCTCAGGGGAAGGCCTCGGCCTCCCTGCCCTGTTGCTGGCCCTCCAGAGGGACTGGCTGGCCACAGTGTGGGACGGGAGGCTGGACTGGAGGGACCCTCCCTGGTCTGACCCAGCAGGGCTCTTCTGATGTCCTTCTCAGGGGAAGGCCTCGGCCTCCCTGCCCTGTTGCTGGCCCTCCAGAGGAACTGGCTGGCCCCTGTGTGAGACAGGAGGCTGGACTGGAGGGACCCTCCCT